TGTCAGTTCCCTAACTAGACCCTTATTAATTCCTATTTAGATAACTATAAAATAGTCTATATTGGATGACCTGAATTCAGTATCTCCTGTTCCAAATATATCTTCCTTAAATATGGGTTCGTGAAAGCTTATGGTGCCCAGCTATCAAAAGATATAGTGTCTGGGGTCTTAAAGGCTTGAAGATAAACAAGCAGCCATCTAGTTGAGAAACAACGAAGCCCACATGGATGAAGCATACCAGCCTGTGTGATCATGAGGTGTCAATAGGATCAGGGAACAGGCACCTAAGACCCAGAACAAAATCATATGCAAGGTGAAATGGGGGGAGGGGGGCATGGAGTGGAGACCCAATGCCCATCTATAGACAATTGGACATCCCCCAACAGAGGGGTCACAGGGAAGAGATGAGCTAGTCAGGGTGCAGTAGAGCACCAATGAAACATGCCACTTTTCTCTAGCTCTTCGGTGATTCCTTCCCCCCACTATCATGACCTCAATTCTACCTTACAAATCAGATTAGACCAGAGCATGCACACTGCTCCAGATAAGAGCCCCAAACACAGGGAATCCAGGATAGATTAAACCCCCCAAGGCCAACAATGAGAGTAGAGAGACCAGGAGGATTAGGGGAAAATGTGGGGAGAAAGGGGGAATCGATCACAAGAATCAACCTATTCCCCCCTCCCAGGGGGATGAACAATGGAAAAGTGGGTGAGGGGCAATAGAGGATGATGTAAGATATGAAAATAATCATCTATAACGTATCAAGGGTTTGTGAGGGAGGGTAGGCAGGGGGGGGGGAGGGGGATGAAATGGGGAGCTGATATCAGGGTGGGAAGAGAATGCTTTGAAAATGATGATGGCAGCATATGAGCAAATGTGCTTGACACACTGGAGGAATGTCTGGATTGTGATAAGAGATGTGAGAGCCCCCAATAAAAGTATTTTTAAAGGTGGCTTCTTTTCACGCCTTATTTCTTTATTTAAAAAAACGTATTCCTAATTCCTAGAGTATTAAATCTAAATTACTCTGCCTGTCATTCAAGTTACTCTACAATCTTGTCTGACCCTATGCATTCCTCCTCTCTAACATAAAACAGATTGAATTCCTCATCCTTCTCAGGCAACATGCACATTGTAGCCAATCTAGTTTTACCCTAAGTTGGACCCTTCCTGTGAATTATATATGCTTATTCATTTTCTGCTCTCAGGCCCCGATTCTCCTGTGACTACGTCCCTGACTAGTAAGGCTCCTTTCTGCCTGAAAGCCCTATGATGATTTTTACTGGTACCTTTATTTATGTCCTCATTTATAACTCCTGAAACTATTCCCACTCGTGCCCTATGCTCTTTATTCAGTATTCTAGTAAGATAAACTCTCCTCTCTTTCAAAGCCTTTTCTAGTAAATAGCCATGTCAGAAATGAGCTGAACAATGAATCCATACAAAAGTGTTCAAGGATGCTTTTGACTTATTAAAAAATCATAACTCAGAGATTCTTAAAACAAGGAAGATATTTGGAGAGCGGGGTGCTTTTTCCATGTCCTTGAAGGTTACCTGTTTAGGTTTTTCAGAAATCAATGATTTTTAGAAACTGATAGACTAATCCATGCTGACAGAGTATCTCTAAACTCAATAGGAATTGAACTCATGTCAGCAGACTATCTTGTAAACAGAAAAAAGTCATTCAATTGGGAGACCTAAGTTTCCTATGTTCTTAAGGCAACTCCGTGAATTTGTCAAATTCCTGAAAAACACACAATTCATTAAAGAGGTAAGAAAGTAAATTTCCTGAAATACATAGTTACAATAATATAACAAATTATAGAACAAGTTATCAGGTAACATCATGTCTTTTATACAAATGTACTATTCTGATGGTCTAACATAAAACACCAATAAAAATATTCATGTAGATTTTTTAAAGAGTCAGTTACTTATTTATTAAGTATAAATTGAGTTATTATGATGCCAGAACTTGGAGATACAGCAATGGAGATAAATATAATAAATGTTTTATCTGCCCTGAAAGAAATCACTAGTATGAGGGACAGGCAAAAACCAAAACAAAACAATTGTAATACAGTTATAAATGTTGTGGTAATGGTAAACACAAGAAATCACAAAAAGAAGTGGGCAGAGGCAGAGGTGACTAGGCTGTGTCAACCAGAAGTGAGTGACTTATAGGCTGAAGTCTAACAGGGCAAGTGGGAGTCAGTCTTTCCGTGCATGGGTGGTGGTTGGCGAGGCATTTCAGGAAGGGTAAACAGGATATTCAAAGGTGATGAAGTATGTAAGAACATGGACTACTCGGGATAGCAAAAAGTTTGGAGGAGCTCCTCAATTTGGAAGAGTCTTGAAAAGATGTGAAGACGTAGTGTGCAGTGGTGTCATAGTTTCATTCCAGATCTGCAACTTGCCAGCTATGTCACTTGGGCAAGTTAATAGTCACTCTAGGCTGGTTTTCATATTTATAAAATCAGTACAACTTATAGATATGCCTTATCAAATTGTTGTGGTCATTAAATTAATTTTAAAAACATAAAATACTCAGAAAAGTATCTGGCACAGAGTAAATTCCAGATGGCAGAAACTTTTAGTGTGTCACTATTATTAGATTGCCCTAATAGGCATTGCTAAATGACTGAATCATCACCAACATAATTGCTGCCGTTATAGGTATTATCCTCAGAGGTTGGAAGGGTGAATCATTGTTGACCTGATACAGGGCTACCCTGTCAAGAAAGAGACTGAACTAGGAAACCTCATGTTCAAATTTAAAGCTCGGCTTTAAAAATCAAAAGGACCTCAAGTTAAAATAATTTCTTGCCTTTTCTATGGGCCATACTAGAGCAAAAATCATTTCTTAATATTCCTAGTTATTGTTACTTGAGCACTTACTGCATGTGAATACCAATCATAAACAATGCACAGAACAATAGCACAATTTTGTGATGCAGATGCTATCATTATTTATAATTTAAAGATAAGAAACAGGCTTAGAGAAGTGAATTAGTTTGTCCCAAGTCAGATAGTTACTAAGGCGAGGAGCAGAAATTTGAACCCTGATCTCTTAGACCAGACTCTAGTTAATAGTATAGTGGTTGGCATATAGTTGATGTACAACAAATATTTGTTGAGTAAATGGATCAATGAATACATCAGTAAATCTATACTCTTCAGCAGATGAGCTTACAAGGTTAGCTTTAATGCTTTTCTTGGTCTTGATAAGCTCAATGTAATGTTAAGAGTAAGGGAGGAATTTGAACCACAAAAGAGAAGAATTTACCCAGGAAAATTCCTTGACTCTAGAAATCCTGATCCAGAGAAGCAATCTGAATTGATTCAGAAATCACGTGCGCGTGCACACACAAACACACCAGTGGAACAAGTTTAAAATACCTTCCATACACACATGTGCAGGCACTCCCACACTGTAACTATACATTGGAAGAAGAATCTTTTGTTTCCTTAACCTCCTGAGAAGGTGTAAATAATGTAAGAGCTAGAAGGGTTTAGAGATTGCTAAATCCAATCCCTTCCTATAAATATGAAAATTTAGGCTCCAGCTGGGAAATAAGTTGCCAAGGTCACACAAGGAGTTAGAGTCGGATTAAGAAATTCAGTTTTCTGATTCACAGGTCTGTTTTCCTCCAAACTGTCACCATTTACCATCACAATTTTATAGATGGGGTGACCAAAGCATTCTAAGAATGTTGATGACCAAGCTCCAGCCACTAGTTCATTGAAACAAGACTTGAGATCAGATCTCCTTTATTTAAAATATGAAGCTTGTTTTCATCCAAATGTTTCTGTCGGAATGCCCAGAAGGAAGACTTCTCTCTATTGAATTAGGATAATGTACAGAAAGCTTTGTTCTTTCCCTTTAAGAGAAAATTTCCAAGCCTGCTTCATTTTCCAAAGCCTCAAGTAGAAGACTGGCAGTCCTGAGGAGGTTCCATTAAGGCACGGATCGTGTGTATCCTCCTTATTGAATCCCCAACACTTTGCACACAAATTGGCACCATGAAGTCACTGAATAAATATGTGTTGAATATGACACATTGAAAGCAGCATGGGAAAGCAGATCGAGTGGTTTCCCTGTGGATGACGGTTGGACAATCACTACTGGTGCTGAAAAAGTAGGACTTGAGGTGGGAGAAGCCCTCTTACACAAAGAGAGAGCTCGTTTTATGTGATTGAAGTTGCAATAATCAGTCCTTCAGAGGGAGAGGCTTGGAAGGGTTGTGGTAGAGAGAGAGATATTTAAATGAGGCCTCCTTAAAATTGTCATTCTCTACCCTGCCCCCATCCCGTTTCAATTCTGTTTCAGTCATTACCCAGGGACCGGATACAGAGATTCCTATGGGGAGTTCTAATGGGTCGATTCAATTTCAACTGGATGACGCCACTTAGCCAACATTAAGAGCTACAGCTCCGGGAAAGCAAACGACCCAGGGAGAGGGAGAGAAAGAAATTATAACACGGAGCAATCAATCCCTCCCCTCCCATCCTCCCCTGTAACCCATTCACAAGACCTCCAGAAATCATCTACATTCACAAAACAGCCAGCTAGCAGGGCTGAACACAGTGCAACCCCTCCCCCTTCCACCCCCTGCCCCCAACCCCCACTCTCTGCAGATTAGAGACCAGCACTCCCTGAGATGAGAGCTATATAAATAATGACACACTAGCAGTATCTATTGCTCTGCTGAGATACCCTGTGTCCACAACTGCAGTTTCTGCTGTCAGATTGGAGGAGACAGAGGCGGAGACGGAGGCAAAGGAGAAGGAGGGGGAGGAGGTAAAGACGGAGGCAGGGGAGGAGGGAAGGGGGAGGGGAAGGTAAAAGCTGGAGGAGGGGGAAAGAAAGAGGAGGAGAAGGGGGAGGAGAAAGAGGCGGAGGAGGAGGGGGAGGAGAAAAAGGAGAAGGAGGAGGAGAAAGAAGAGGAGGAGGAGAAAAAGGAGGAGGAGGTGAACAACTTACCCTGCTGAGCTTTCTTTGGGGAATTCGTGCACCAAGATCCAGATCTGCATGTAAAATCTATACGAAGTCTCTGCCACTACAGGTCTGACACCCCCACCCCCTCACCCTTTGCTTGCTTGCTTTCCGTGTTCTCTGCTGTGTCAGAAAAACCAAGACAGAACTATCTCTGTTTCTGGCTGCAGTACCAGTGAAGGAGTTTTCATTCAGACTTTCCGGAGAAGAAGAGGTGCTCGGAGCCAGATGGGGCGTTCGTTCTGCTCTGCTCAGCATGGACAAGATCTCTCCTCAAGGTAAGCCACAGAGAGTGGTTCAGCAAGACCCCTGAATTCTTTTGATGCAATGCACAGATTGCCATTCATTCCTGCTATCGTGTGTGTGTGTGTGTGTGTGTGTGCGTGCGTGCTCGCAAGCAAGCAAGCAGACAAGCGCAAGCGCGTGGGTAAAATAAAATGAAGACCATTTAAATGAATCAGCTCTTGCACAAAAAGTATCCGTATTGGAATTTTATAAATCATATGGAACTTCAGCATAGCCATTTTGTAACCAAATGTCAATTTATTTTCTAGTCTATTAACCTTTAAATGCGTTTCGCGGCTTGCCTCAGTCCTTCATAGCATAGCCTAACCACCTAAGCTGAGAATGTAGGGAGAGCCCATGCTGAGGCCAGTCTGGCTGCCCAGCGGGCATCCTGTCAGCTCGGGGCTAGTCTGCGATTGGCTCACAAGTCTGGGCTGTGCATCGTTCAGATTTCATCACATCACCTTGCCCTGGGAAGAAATGGCGCAAGCTGACACGGCATAACCCCCTACTTACATTGAGTCAGAGCAATGATTTAGAAATCTCTGGCTCCATGCCCGCGAGTGTGTGCACATGTCTCTGTGTGGCATATGGAAATTTTGTCCGAAGGGAGAACCTGTAAGCATGTCGAGTTAGCCCCTCTACATTCGATAGGACCCAGGGCAAGGCTGGCCAGCACCCTGCACTCCCTTCCGCTCTTCCAGGATCACTCGATCTCTGCGTGCTGTGAACCAAGTTGGAGGAGCAGAAAATAAACCTTGAACTATTAGACAGAAAATCTATTTTGAAATGCAGTATTGCTTTCTGGGGCGTACTGGAGCCTCACTATAACATAATGTGCCATCACATGAATATAGATCTACCAGGTGCTTAAACCATTATTCCCAACATGTCAGTTGTATACATAGCTACAAATAACACACAGGCTAGCAGTTTGTCTACCAAGGTAAGTATTCCTTTCGTTCTTTTGCCTCTAAACCAGTGGTTCTCCACCTTCCAAATGCCTTGATCCTTTCATGCAGTTCCTCATGTGGTAGTGACCCCCACCAACCATAAAATTACTTTTGCTGCTACTTCATCACTCTCATTTTGCTACTGTTATAAATCGGGCGACCCCTGTGAAAGGCTAGTTTGACCCCCAAAGGGGTCACGCATGACCCACAGGTTGAGAACTGCTGCTCTAAACAAATGTGTACCGAGACATAATTATAAACTCTATACATTTTTTTCATGCTCTGTTTTTTGGCCTCTCTCGGTATTAATGACAGGCTAGCTAGAGATCTGAGTGACTTCCACTTGGAAGGGTTTATTCTGAGTCGAGAGATGAAGAAGTAAAAGAGTAACAGGAAAGGAAACAGGAGTTCAAAATCTCTTTAGACGGGGAAAGGCCAGTCCCACATAAAAATGAAATTGAGCCTCCGGACAAGAAGGTGTTTTAAAAATCTCCCCTTCAAATTCCCACAGAAATCACTTGTCCACAGTCACACAGCCACATATAGCTAGAGCTAGGAGTAGATCTTGAAGGTTTAAAGGAAGATTTATACTTCTAAGGTGGACAACTACCTCCTTAGCATTTCCCTGAGGATCGGAATCATGTTAATTCATTTGGCACCACAATGTGTCCACTAAAACTGTATCTTTTAATGAAAGATCTTAAAATGGCAAGATCCCCCAGTTTGAAATAAACTGCTATGAATCTTAATGAGACTATTAAAAGAATGAACAGGACAAGGGTAGCAAAGTGAGAAGTTAAGAGTTAAATGTGGTGAGAACCTGGCAGCTCCAGTCAGATGTATGCGGTAGGAGGGAGGCCCAGTCAGTGGCAGAGAGGTTAGTAATGTAAACTATATACAACTTGGTATTTGTACGGGGGGAGCTCTTTGATAGAGATGCAAATGCTTGTGCACAGAGAGGGATTTTTCAGAGAGCGAACTTTGGAACAGTAGAACTAAGAAAACATATAAGCCATAGCAGAAAATTCCCCCTATGTTTGCTTTCAGTTATTCTGAGAACGAGGATGTATAACAGCAGAGCACAGGAAAAAAAGCAACACAGCCCAGCGCTGTTACGCATTGAAGCCGAGGGAATGGGAGGAAAAAGAGGAATCAGGCTCTCCGACTCTTCCCCATTTCCCACAGACTCATAGTGTGTACGAAAGGGTTCACGGTAGAAATCAGAATTGTCTTCGAGTATTAGCACAAAGGAACTTGAGATAGGAAAGTTTTCAACTGGAATTCCAACATGGCAGAATAATTGGGACAGATCTTAGGTTCTAGAGGGAAAATACACCAATATTTCTTAAACAGATTTAGCTTTTAGTTTCCAAGTTGACTTAAAAATAAATTTCTACTTAGCTGGAACATAGAACAGTTCAGGAGTACATACAAACTTTTGAAAAGCTATGAGCACCTGGACCGAAGGACCGCGGGGGGAGTGGGTTCCAGGCATCATTCAGTACTGCAGAGGCGCCACAGGACAGAAGTCACTGGGTCCCATCAGTGGGCAGCCAAGAACTTGTAATCACCTTGGGTACTATTTAATAATATGTGATGTGTGTGTGTGTATTCTCTCCCTCGTGTAGTAGAATATCGAATTGACCAATAATACTGTCAGAGTTTTGACTGTTGCAGCTCACAATGAATGATTCTTTACTGGGGGAATTTCTGAATCATCAGCATGCATGCAGTAGTCGTTTTTGTCCAGTCTATATGCCACAGCACTCTCTTGCCTATATGTTTCCCAACTCTTCCCCCAACCACACTTACCTTCCTTTACAACAGTGGTTCTCAACCTGTGGGTTGCGACCCCTTGATTCATAACAGTAGCAAAATGACGTGATGAAGTAGCAACGAAAATAATTTTATGGTTGGGAGCTGGGGGTCACCACAACATGAGGAACTGTATGAAAGGGTCTCGGCATTAGGAAGTTGAGTTGAGAATATGCTTTACAGTATTTCAGATTGGATTCAGCATGTCTAGAATGGCAAACAAATGTTTTGTCATTCTATTCCTTTTTTAAAAGAAATTCTACTTAACCCCCTAACTTTACTCAAGCTGCAGAGTTGCCATACAGAATCCCAGAGTCCGTGCTAATAAAAGTTTTACAGAGCAGGAAGAAGCCTTCCGAATTGCTTCTGTCAATTATCTTGCCCTTAAGTAAGATAGTACCTCATCTTTCCAAACTAATGCCTCAGGCTTCCCTTAATCACTTAGCCAAGTATCTCAACTCCTCAGCGTCTCAGCAATCTAATCAATCTCTAAACATGTCTCTCAACCTAAGCGCTGCATACCCTTCTGCTCTGCAGGCAAGATCCCTTTAAACATGGTTTTCATGATTGGCTCCTGAGCCTCTAAGTTCGGAATTGTTTTGATGATGGCCTACATTTCTCCAAGTTTACCATTGGACCTTCTGGGCATGCCCCAACCGCTACCTAGTGAAATCCCCCAAATACTGTCTTTGGAATCCTGTAGGATTTTCTCCTGTAACTTGGAGACCTTTTATGCTTCCTTTGAGATGTTGCTTCTTGGAATTTCCAATATGTTTTTAATCTACTTTCCTTTGGGAACTCAGTGAGTCTAGAACATATAATGTGCTTGTGTGTGTGTGTGTGTGTGTGTGTGTGTGTGTGTGTGTGTGTAGAACAGCACTTTGTTTATCTGATTAATAAGACCCCCCAAGAAAACATTTCTTATCAATGTATCAAGACTGTGCAAGTCCAAAGCTCTCATATCTACATGCCCTCCAAGCCAGCTGTGCACCGTGTCCTTGTTTATCCAGGTGTTCAAATGCAAACCGTCTGTTCCTTTTCAAGGCTGAGACTTTGAATCTATAGAGATAGAGGGAAGCTAGAGTTAGAGGAGTTCAAGTAAACAAGGTTACATCGCCCAGCTTGCTATCAAGGACTTGAAGCTGCAGACAGTGTGGATGAAAACGATTCTTTTGTGAAGTTGCCTCGTGGGAGAACTATGGAACATAAGGGGACAGGGTCCTGAGATTGCCTAGTCCACCTCTGTAATTAGATAGATGGTGACACTGAGGCTCAAAGAAAAAAGTGATTTGACAAAGGTAGCATAGATATTTGAGTCTCTATCATGTTTATTTGCCTTTTCTTGCACTGGGTTAAATTACACCAAAACAACTAACTAAAAAGTGAGATTTCAGTCAGACTGGTTCTTTGATGGTATGTGCCCCCAAACGTTGTTTTATAACCAAATTAAGTCTTTTCAAACAGATGTAAGTTCAGCTAAGCAGGTTTGCGTAGGGATATAGTCTCAAAAAGCAACCGAATCTGGTCGTATCATTAACCACAGAGTCTTTTATGAAATGCATCATCATTTTTCCTGTTGTGAGTGAGCTTTGGACCCATTTCAGTGTCGTTTGCTTGCTTATGGAAATCTACTATTCTCTTTTAATTTGTTCGTTTCTATCACTCACTCAAAGTATCTATGCTGTACAGCAGTGTGACTAATTGATCTAGTGTGAGGAAGCCTGCATTCGAATGGATTTCAAGTATATATCATCGTCATGGCAGGGCTCCCTAGGCCCTAATGCCTTCAGGATTTCTCATGGGTTTCTTTGTGTGCACTTTTTTGGCTGTTCATTCTTCCAAGTGGTGGGACATAAGAACCCCATTGCCAGTGCTAGTCTTGATCAAGTCCTTCAGAGAATGACCACCCAACTCTTCCTGATTGTGGTCGAATAAGACAACGCTTATGCTTTCTATATATTCAACCTAGCTTAAATAATAGCATAAGAGCTTGATTTGCTTCACCAGAGCCAGTGTCCTGTGTTAGGTAAGAACGGAGGAAAGCAGTCACATTGCTTATGCCTAGGAAATCCCATCAATACACAGCTGGCTCGGAGTGGTGATAGGTACAATATTTGAAATAACCCGGAACTCATCTTCTCTGGCTTCTTTATGCTGAAGCTTACTGTAAGATGACAAAAACTACAAAATGATTAGTCTTGGCTTCCTAATCCCTTTCACTCTTGGGATGCTTTGTTTCTCTAAATTAATTCATGTTACTCTACCAGTCTAATTAGTGCCTGCTGTGTCTCTGTGGTATCGCTGCTATTATCTGCATCTTGCTGGCTTACCTGTAAGCATTGGAATGAGTAATATCTGTTCTTGTTTGTTCATTTCGGCCTGTCACAAATGACACTCAAAGAAGATATTGGTGGCCTTTGCAGATGAAGTTAGGTCCCATTTTTCTTAGCATTCTGATGCTCAAGGCTTTGATGTCCTGTGCTAGCAAACACCTGAATGAATGAGCTACTCCTGTCAACCTAGTTGTATGATAGAACACAAAGGAATCTAAGAGCTGATTTTGATCTCCCAGTGCGTTCTCGTCCGGAGAGGACAACTGGACTTGCTTGTAAAGAAGCACGCAAGATCACTGTAGGACGGCCACTGTAAGTGGTTCCAAGGCAGTGATCAGTTCTGAGCGTTTCTGTTTCCCCGCAGTGTTCATGGCTGTGTATTCTCAATTGTTTCTCTTCCCTTTTGTCTTAGGATTTTCTGACGTGCCCTGAGGTCTATGTAACTACAAGGTATCTTCTTTATCACCATAAGTGCCATCCGGACCCCAAAACACTCAGAGCTCAAGATTCGAGGCAACATGGATGCCGCAATGACAGATGAACTACAACAGGTTCTGCCTATTCAACAGCTGCGCTCTACTCATGCTAGCAATGATTATGTGGAGCGGCCTCCTGCCCCCTGTAAGCAGGCCCTCTCCAGCCCTTCCTTTATCGTGCAAACCCACAAATCTGATTGGTCCCTGGCTGCCATGCCTACTGCTCTTCCCCGCAGCCTCAGCCAGTGCCATCAGTTACAGCCCTTGCCTCAGCATCTGAGCCAATCTAGCATTGCCAGCTCAATGTCCCATAGCACCACTGCCTCTGACCAAAGGCTCTTGGCCAGCATGACACCTTCACCTTCTGGCCAGTCCATCATCCGAACCCAGCCCGGAGCAGGCCCCCCGCCAAAGGTTGATGGTGCTCTGAAAAGAGAAGCTGAGCAAGCTGCCCTGCGCCCCAGCGAGCACCTCTTCATCTGCGAGGAGTGTGGGCGCTGCAAGTGTGCCCCCTGCATGGCGGCTCGCCCTCTCCCCTCCTGCTGGCTTTGCAACCAGCGTTGCCTTTGCTCTGCCGAGAGCCTTCTCGATTATGGCACCTGCCTCTGCTGTGTCAAGGGCCTCTTCTACCACTGCTCCACCGATGACGAAGACAACTGCGCCGACGAGCCCTGCTCCTGCGGGCCCAGCTCCTGCCTAGTCCGCTGGGCAGCCATGAGCCTCCTCTCCCTCGTTCTGCCCTGCCTGTGCTGCTACCTGCCGACCCATGGATGCCTCCAGCTGTGCCAGTGGGGCTACGATAGCCTCAGGCGACCAGGCTGCCGCTGTACGAGGCACACCAACACCGTGTGCAGAAAAATCTCTTCTGCTGGTAGTGCGCCCTTCCCCAAGGCCCAGGAAAAGTCTGTATGACCTTCCTACAAGCTGGGTCCCGAGCGTCTCCTTTAGCCCCCATCAGTAAAGGATAGGCCTCACTTTCGAAGAGGGGGAGGAGTCATCAACTAGCCAAAGTTAGGGCCTCACCTCTTTTGTTCCTGTCAGGGGAAGGACCTTGTTCTTTCTTGCAGTATCTTATCCCACTCCTCTCCAACCTTTGTACACCCTGCCAGCTCAGCCCTTATGACTGTCATGGCGAATTCAGGAGATCTATAGGCATGAGGTTTGGACACTGAGGACCCACAGAGCCAGCACCGTAGAGGTTAGGGGCTCCCCAATGTGATGCCTCTCGGTGCAGGCTCTGAGCACCACTCTGCTTTCCACAGTGCCTTTGTGGAACAGCGCTCAATCTCCCAGGGAATCGGACTCCACCTCCCTCTTTACTGCCCTCCTCTTACCCTCCCTCGCCTTCTCCCTTCCTCTTTTCCTTTCATTGTCCTGTTCCGTATTCCTCCCTCTCTTCATCCCCGCCCTCTTTACACTTAGTCCTCCTCCTTTCTCTCCCTCCTTTCCCTCTCTCTCACACTTTTACTCTGCCTCGATTACTATTTATTTGACCTATTTCTATTTCTTTCAGCCTGTTCTTCTTGCTCTCTATATTTCCAAAAGTGCTGTTTGGCCATAGGTGTTTCTGTTGACTCCAAACTTTGCTATGCTAGACTCTTTACTCATTGTTCTGTAGGGGAATGGATTACTATAATGAACTGATCACTAGCAATAGTCTAGACCCTAAGGTGTGTGTGCTTCACAACCACACTTACCTGTTTGTGATCATATGAGGCACAGCTAGCTTACATTTCCAGGTTAAATTAGTTGAAGTTTTACTCTCGTTCCCAGTAGCGGCTTGTAGTGCTGACAGTAGGATAGTAAATCAGGATGCTCATAACCCCGTATGTCTGACCCAAGTGCCAAAGGCAGACGTGCTTTATAGCTAAATGAACAAGGCAAAGGATACTGAGAGCTCTGTTCTCTCTTAAAAGCTAAATTCCCTGAGACTGCATGGCTCAGGCCTTAATAATGGACATAAAAAGTCATAAAACTTTAGAGCTGGAAGGAATCTTCACTATTAATCTAGTGTAATGCCCTTTTTACAGACGGGCAAACTGAGGTCTGGAGAGAGGAAAGTGACTCGTAGGCTTGGGAGTGGAGGACAGGTATTTTGACCCTTAGTTCAGTGCTCTCTCCCTTGCACCACATTGAGTCACAGGGCTTTTCCCCTGGGACTCTAGGAGCAAGGACAAAAAGCCAATCCTATGCCTCACTATTAATCTAGTGTAATGCCCTTTTTACAGACGGGCAAACTGAGGTCTGGAGAGAGGAAAGTGACTCGTAGGCTTGGGAGTGGAGTGGAGGACAGGTATTTTGACCCTTAGTTCAGTGCTCTCTCCCTTGCACCACATTGAGTCACAGGGCTTTTCCCCTGGGACTCTAGGAGCAAGGACAAAAAGCCAATCCTATGCCATTACTTAGCAGGAACCATGCAGACTGAATGTGGTGGTCTTTATGCAGTGCACAGGGTATCAAGGCTGCCCCCATTGGACGTTGGTGCGCTCTCACCTTGCAGAAGCTCAAGTGTGGAAAAGAAACACTGAAAGAAGCCTTCCCCACGCTGTATCTTCACCATTGCATCGCCTCTTTTTGCAACCCCTGTGCTCACTTCCTGGGTTTGTCCACAATGGCACCCACCTGAGGACCTAAATTTCAGCAACAGTGAAAAACTCAGATGAAAGCTGTAGAACTCAGAGAACTAACTTCTCTCTGTGCCTGAATCCCCATCAATAGGAAAGGCTGCAATGGGGACTGCACCGTTCCCTCTGTTCGCCACGGAATGCGAAGATTGAGAGCACTTGCTTGAAATCAAGGTGCTCCAGACTCTCACTTTACATAGCCTCTCTTTTGAAGTGTGCATGGATGTGTGTTGCAGGGTGCAGAAGGGGGAGGGGGAGTTATGGTCATACACAAGGGAAGAAGGGAGCATCCATATGTTTTGGTTGGATACATATTTGGGGAGTTAACAAAAGAGAAATACGTGCCACTCAGTCTTTATGGTTTTTGAATCTCCCTGAAGTGTACTGACATTTGGGCTGCATGCAGCCCCACACCTTCACTTACACCTCCTCTTCTAGAATTGCTTTGCTCTATTTTTGTATATATAAATATGTTATGATGATTATTAATAATGTTAATGATATTGCTGCAAATGGTGCCATATATAAGGTTTGGCTTCTTGAAACATTTATAAACCCAAACCAATACCTGTAACCCCTTATGTTGCTTTCAGATCCTCCTATTTTAAGTAGCCTTTTTAAAAAAAAAAAAAATCTTACAAATCTGCCTGATTGAACTTTGAACTTAATCTACCCCAGAGAGCTGTGCCCAGTTCTCTGGGTCAAGCTAGATGATGATGAGTAGCAACTCACACTTCTCTCTGCTTCTGCCTGACATTTGCTTAGAGCTGAGATGTATAAGAATTCTTTGACACTAGTGCATTGTTCCTGGAGCTAAAATATTCTATGGATGTTTGCTTATTAGTTTCAGGACCCAGAATAATACAAGTCCCGCCTCGATACCTCCTTAATATCCCAACCCTGCAGTCCTTACTCAGGCAAATTGTGCACTGCCAGAGGGGCCCTGGGCTCTGCCATCCACCCAGAGGAGCTCTTCTCAGTGTCTTTCTAAATGGCCTTACACTCCGTGGAAGAAACGAAGGGTTGCTCAAGGGCAGCTGCAGTCTGCAACCTGCTGCTGAGTCAGGCCTTTCACTCGTGTCCCAGTTGGCCTGCTGTGAGGGACTGCATCTGGTTTACGTAGAGATGGGTCCTGTTGGGGTCTGCGTGCGCACGGATGTGTGAGTGGGTGTGCATATGTATCCCTTCAGTGATTTTATATATATATCTATATATACACACACATAGATGTAAACATATATTCACACATCTCTATATATTTTAATGTATTGCACATGTATATTTAAAATATATATGGAAGAACTCTAAATCCTGAGGAAAGACTCTGTTTTCATTATTTTTCTACTTCGTGTCATGTTCTATATAAACAGGACTATTTAGAGGGTGTTTCCTGCTGAGCATTTTTTTGTACTTAAGTCATCTGTTACCCCTAACTCTATTGCTTTCCACATATTGGTCCCTTGATACATTTCATATGGCTTTAGCCAAGAGTTTTCCTTTCCCACCCATCTTCCCTCGTCGCTATAGTTCTAATAAATATAGTGAATGCTTATATAGTTTTCACTATGTGCAAAACACTATTCAACCAAGTTGCCTATATTAGCTCTTAGACCTCACCATAGCTCCACAGTGTAGGTCCAATTACTGTCCCTATTTTAATGATTTAAAAAAGAAAAAGAAAAATCCAAAGCACAGAGAGGTTAAGTGGTTTGCCAAAGGCGGCCAAGCTTGTAGATGGTCCATGCCTCAGGGTCAGGAGGAACAGACTGTAAATGTTTCTGAAGTAACACGCCTCACATGGTGAATGGTCTTTTCCCCAACTCCAGTCCACCTGCGATGTAGGAGTGGAAATAAATGTGCTCCTGTCTTAGGAGAAAATCAATTTGTAGACATCCTATGTTAGCTGTCTTACTTCCCAAGATGGTAGCATCACCAACTACTATTCCCTTTGAAATCACACTTACAGGCAGTTGCCATTTCTCCGAGATCATATGGCATAGAGCTAATAGGGGATATTTTCATTATGCCCAGAGGGTAAGAGAGTATTTGTCTTTTTTTCTAGATACAGCTAATTTTTGAATTGGAAAATCAATTCAATTTATTTCTTCAGAAAGTAGAACTGAAACTACTTTTGGAGCATGTGGTTGGTTGGAACTGTTATCATTTAAACTCATTGATTATATGGATTGAATTCTTCTGATTCAAATGTAAGCAATCTACTGATGACCACTGGGCAATATAATATACCTTTTCAAGCCACCTCCTTCACATTCATGATCCTCCACCCTGCATTATTTCAGAGCCAGAAGGATCCTTAAGGAATATCTAGCTTATATCAATGCTGGTAGGTAGATGCACAGGGAGGGAAATACCCTGTCCTAAGTCATGCAGTAGTGAGTTTGAATGGACATGTTACTGTATTCCAGAGTTCCTAATTTCCAGCTGTCTTAGCCTGGTTTTCCAGAAAAGGAAACTTGAAGGGGAAAAATATCATATGCAATCTCAAAGAAGCATGATTAAATAAAAAAAGGTAGGGAAATACGAAGAACAAACAAAAAGGAGTGTTTTGGGGAATCAAGGCATAATCAGCTTTGTGCAGTCTCTTATGACAGGACACATGAAACTAGGGTATGGTCATACAGCCCATTTGAAGGGAGAAGGAGGCATCATCCAGATCCAATGTTATTAGTTAGATATCTTCTACCAGGAGTAATAACTCCCTTGCACTTCTGGGCAGTGCACACGTGTGGACACAGAAAGGTGTCTAAATGGACATTGATATTTGTCCCTCACATCTTAAAACACAGTCATTCACATTGAATTAGAGATCACCCATTTTTAAAGTATCTAAGGCTTTATTGTGGGGCGCAAAAATCTAGTCTGCCTGCTGGGATCTGTTTTTCTTATGACCCTCTTTAAAAGGACTCTTTCTACGTGGAAATTAAGTTCTTAGTATAATTAGAGGAATAGAAAAGTCTCAAGATAAGGAACTTTCTCATATTGGACTCAGCATGTGCATAAGTATCCATATGCTTATCTGGGCTCCATTAGAATAATAGCAGGAAAGTTAGTCACATTAAGAAATTCAGGGTGGAAAATTAGCCAACCAAGTTATTATGTGCAACATGTTGGTTGACTGGATTTTCTTATATTTCAGCTGCTCATTATGAGGCTACATTCTAAGATTTACACTATGTAAAAAATTCTCAAACGAGGCCTGGTAGGGTTTCAGCAAGGGCAATGTAACCGAGAGAAGTTACTAAAACCCAAATGAAGGCTGATCATGAGTGTGGGACAAGAGGAAAGTAAAAGGAAATAGAGGAAAGAACTAGGGGGCAAAGGGTATGTATAGAGGTCTAACTACAGGCATGTACACATGTAACTATATTTATATAGGATGGTGGGGAAATAGATCTACGTGCATATGTTTATAGGTTTGGTATTAAGGCAGCAGATGGACATTGGGCCTCCACTCAAGTAGTTGCTCAATGTAAGAACACTTTGTTCTATTACATTGGCATTCCATGATGCACACCTTCCCGACATGATTGCTGAAGACAAATGTGTGCATAAGCAAATGTGCTGATGAAAGCTGATGGTGCCTGGCTCAAAAGATATAGCGCCTGGGATCTTAAAGGCTTGAAGATAAACAAGCGGCCATCTAGCTGAGAAGCAACAAAGCCCACATGGAAGAAGCACACCAGCCAGTGTGGTCACGGGGTGTCGAAGGGATCAGGTATGAGACATCAAAGAACCAAAAATCATAACATTGTAAATGGTGAGTGCAGAGTGGAGACCCAAAGCCAATCTATCAGCAACTGGACACCCCTTTACAGAAGGGTCGTGGGGAGGAGATGAGCCAGTCAGGGTGCAGGGTAGCAATGATGAAACATACAACTTTTCTCTAGTTCTTAAATGCCCCCCCCCCATCATGATCCCAATTCTACCCTACAAATCTGGCTAGACTAGAGGATGTACACTGGTAAAGATAGGAACTGGAAACACAGGGAATCCAGGACAGATTACCCCTTCAGGACCAGTGGTGAGAGTGGCAATACCTGGAGGGTGGAGGGAAAGTGGGGTAGAAAGGGGGAACCGATGACAAGGATCTACAAAAAAACCTCTTCCCTGGGGGATGGACAACAGAAAAGTGGGTGAAGGGAGATGTTGGACAGTGTAAGATATGACAAAATAATAATTTATAAATTATCAAGGGTTCATGGGGGAGTAGGGATCGGGGAGGGGGGAAAATGAGGAGCTGACACTAAGTGCTCAAGTAGAAAGCAAATGTTTTGAGATTGATGATAGCAGCAAATGCACAAATGTGCTTGACACAATGGATGGATGTATGGATTGTGATAAAAGCTGTACAAACCCCCAATAAAATTATTTTAAAAAATATCAAACACAATAGCTCCTTAAGCCTAAAAACCATTCTAGTAGGAAGTCAAAGCATTCATTTGATAAAAACATCCCACTGATATGGTTTCATATCAAAAAGCAGGGTCATAAAAGCATGGACTGTAACCCGCTGATTTAATTCTTGCTTTTTCAAGCAGGAAAAGATGACTTTAAGAGAACTCTGAAAGCTGTTCTAGGTGAATAATGAAATCAAACTCTTCCTGTCTAGCTCTTCTACAGGTAAATTCTGTAGTCACTTCTCA